TGGTCGGGGGCGCGTGGGGGGGGGTCTGTCATTTTTTACGTAAAGGCGCAGGTTTCTTGGCTGTTATCCTGATCCTGGTTTCCCCAGCTAGTGAGTTAATGACCTGGAGCAAGCATTCAAACAGTAAAGTCTAACAAATTCAAATTTCCATCCTTCATACAGGTTCCAGGTCAGTGACTCTCTAGGTCAGCCGTCCTCAAGCTTTGTACCCCAGAGGAACCCTTAAAATAGTTTTCAGGTGGCGGGGAACCCCTGCTAAAATTAATTCATTGGTATTCAGTGGGAAAAACGCCCCCTCTACAGCGGTAGGCAGAATGCCACCCTTGCAGGCAGCTAAAAAGATCTCTGGGGCCGTACTGTTGGCTCTACCTAGTGGCCCCCTGTAAAGGTGGTCAGTGAGAAGAATGACCTCCTCACAGTGGTGGTCAGAATTCCATCTTTACAGTGGTGGTCAGTATGCCCCCCTTACAGGCAGCTAAAAAGATCTCTGGGGCCATACTGTTGGCTCTGCCAAGTTGCTTCTTATGAAGGTGGTCAGTGGGAAGAATTACCCCCTTATAGGGGTGGCCAAAATGCCCTTTACAGGCAGCTAAAAAGATCTCAGGTGCCAAACGGCTGGCTCTACCAAGTGGCCACCCATAAAGGTGGTCAGTGAGAAGAATGACCGCCTTACAGTGGTGGTCAGAATTCCACTCTTACAGTGGTGGTCAGAATGCCCCCCTTACAGGCAGCTAAAAATATCTCTGGTGCCGTACTGCTGGCTCTACCAAGTGGCCCCCTATAAAGGTGGTCAGTGAGAAGAATGACCCCCTTACACTGGTGGTCAGAATTCCACCCTTTCAGGCAGCTAAAACGGTCTCTGGTGCCATGCTTCTGGCTCTTCCAAGTGGCTCCTTATGAAGGTGGTCAGTGGGAAGAATATATAGTGGTGGTCAAAAGGCCACCTTTAAAGTTAGCTAAAAACATAGTGTCCTACAGCTGGCTCTGCAGAGTGGCGTTGGCTCCGGAACTATGCAGGTATTATAAACGATGGAAGATCAATCAGCCATAACTGAAGGAACCTCTAACAACCTCTGGAGGAAACCAGGGATTCCACAGAACCCTGGTTGAGAATGCCTGCCCTAGGTAGTGAGATAGGATGACGGTCCCTAAGCCCTCACCTTGAAAAACAACTCCGCAACTGCAGCTTCTATGTTCTATACTGACAGGTTCACATTAATATAGAGATACAAGAAGACTTCCGGGGACAAAATGTTCTCAAGTCTTCAAAGCTAAGACAATCCCTGGAGACCAAGGAGAGTTGTTGACTATGGTAGAAGAACTTCTATTCAAGACACCAGAGACTACCTAAAACATTCACCTCTTTTCATTGACCTTGTTGGGCTTGTTGACTTTCCAGCATGCTGGAAGATCTCTAGAACTACTTTTAGTCACTCACCTCAGCTCTTGCTTGTTCATCAAAGTGAGTCTAACGTGCTAGATCTCAGTTGCTCAGTGATGAGCAGTGTGAAGGAAGCCGTTTTGACCTGCTGTAAAATCTCTATATTCAGCAGGAAGTTGCATGGAGTTGAGAAGCATGGGCACCGCAGGAGGTTAGTCTAAATGGCCCTGACTGCTGTGTGTTTCAGAGCTCTTTCCTTGGGGGTAGAATTCCTCAAACTCCTATACCAGCCATTCTTAACCAGGGTTCCTCCAGATGTTTCTAAGTGTTCCTTGAGCTGTGGCTGATTGATCTTCCATCTGATAATGCCTACATAGTTCTGGGTTTAACACCATCTGCATCACACCAGTGGTGTTTTTAGCTTTCTGTAAGGGAGAGATTCTTCCCACTCACCCCCCACTGTAAGGGGAAACAGGGCCGGCCTTAGGCCTTTAGGCGCCCTGTGCGAGAAAGCTTTACAGCGCCCCTCAGTGACCACACGCCTCAGTGGCCACACCCTTTAGTGGGCACACCCCCAGTAACCACACCCATTTATTAAACATATTTTTGGTAAAATATAAAAAGCGGGGTCACGTCGGGTAAATAGACACCAAACATGTCAAGCTTTAAAATCGCACCCGCGAAATCGCAAAAATTACCATGCCCAAAATTGACCATAGGTGACGCTTTAAAAGCTTTTACCGCTCATCAGTTTAGTGTCATCAGTGATTGATAGCCCTACAATTATTGCTCTCATTCCGACATAAAAGTCTTCCCAATGACCCCCCCCACACTGTAAGGGTAGATTCTGCCCACTGACTCCCCACTGTAAGGGGAGCTTCTGCCCACTGACTCCCCACTGTAAGGGGAGATTCTTCCCAATGACCCCAGGTGTAAGGGGTGCATTCTTCCCACTGATCCCCCTACCATAAGGGAGGATTTTTTGCATTGACCCTGACTGGGATTCTTCCCAATGACCCCCACTGTAAGGGGCATTTTTTCCTAC